CAAAACTGATTGTAATATTAGAGTTGCGCAATTTACTTTCTGCATATTTTTCCCTCCCTTTTCTCTCAACTGCTCTTCGTTGGAATAGTCAGCGAGAAAGAAGGATATATTTATTTATAGTTAAAAATAAATAAATCCCATTCTCATTATTTTTTGCTTTTAGTTAATGGAGGAATAACAATTTCCCACCCACGGTTTAGCGAAGTAATTTTCCCACCCAAAAAATTTGAAAAAAGAAAAAATAATTTCCTACTCATCGTTAAGATTCATTTGTCAACTTTAACTGAAGAAGGACATAACGATAAATTCAATTTATTTTATATTTTTTTGTTAAAAAAATAGAAAAAAATTGCCTAACCCATTTATCTTTCTTCCCCCAACCCATCGCCCCAAAATCCTCCATGTGTCCTCCCTTCAACCTCCCCACCTCTCCTACTGTTACAAACATGTTTGAAGAAGTTTTTTTTCCTTAACCTATTTTGATATTAAATAGAGTAGAAAACTATTCTTGCTCAATTGAGAGAGCTAGAAACCTGCAAAGTTCAAATAGAACATTTTATGTAAATAATTAGCATCCCTTCATTCCAATAGAAATCTAGAAAATATATATGAGCTTACAATTATACTTCTCTACTAAATAGCAAAACACGTTCATAACTTAAACAAATCAAAATACATGTTCAAACCCAACTAAAGTATCTTAAATACGTGGCTGACTTATTCAACTAAAATAAAACTTATCTATATCCTAATCCAGTTTATTTAAGGGCGAACGACAAGTTCCCACCCAAGGTTTAGCCTAATGACAAGTTCCCACCCAAAAGGTTTCAAAACGACAGTTTTCCACCCATTCAGCCAATTTTTTCGTTATTTTCAACTACAGGAGGATAGAACAGTAATTTCAAAAAACAATTAAAGGACAATGATGTCATTTAACTCTTATATAAGTTGAAAAACAAAATCTCTAATTTTTTTTCTCGACATGGATTTTTTTGCGTAGGTTGTTCAATTTCAATACCTTTCTTCTTTGCCCATAAGAAGAAACAAAGTTTCTCTCACACAGTTGAATTTGAGTGTGTGAATTGCGGAACCTTTTAACAAAATTTAGAGCTTGGATTCTGGGTTAAATTTGATATGATTGCGTAAACTGCTTTTCCAACACAACTTAAACTAAATTCATTCATAATCAACACCGATCCAATTCAAACAAATTGAACACAATCACACCAAAATGGAAGACCAAGAAACCTTACAGTGACAAGCCCCAGAGTCAACAACCGAGTCAACCCAACATCACCCATTCCTCCCTCAAACTTCTAACAGTCAAATTATACAAACTAGTGAGAAAATTTAGCTGCCCGGTCCCCCCAAGTCTGCATTTAAGAAAATGGCCTTGATACTGTTCATAAAATATTTTATAATTTAGAGAAGATGACGTGGCATAGTTAGGATTAATTAAACACGTAAAATGGGTTAAAATGAAAAGATTAAAACATATGTGGGCCGAATCAGAAATAATGAAAGTTTTCAAAATTTGAAATTTCGCAAAACAAGCCCCACACTCTATTCACGTCGCTTAATCGAAATTCTCAGTTGAAAACGCGATTTCTTGAACGAAAGGGAGACGCGATTTTTCCGATCCAACACCAATGATTTGCACCCTAAATCAATTTCTTGAACCCTAAACCGAATACAGTCGCGATTTTCGGCGATATAGTCGCGATTTTCGATCGATTTGTTGAACCTAAGAACGATTTCTTCAACTATAAACAGAATCTGCGCGATTTCCGGCGATACAGCCCATATTTCCAATCCAAACTACAAATTTTCACACCAAATTCATCCAAAACCATGGCTGACACTCACAATGACGACGAAAACCCAACGCCACTTCGAATCCTAGATTCGGTGGCTCAAGCAGTTCAATGGCTGCTCGGTCGATCATCTGACCATTGAAGGTGGTCCACAGTAGAGGAGACGCCGGCGGCACAAGAAGAGAGTGAAGAACCAGCACAGGGGTCTGAGCGAGGAGTCAGGCGAGACTTCAGGCCAGAAGGAGGATTCCGGAGAGAATGCAGGCCAGGAGGTGGATTCCGGCGATAATTCAGGGCGGAGGAGTCGCCGGAGGATCCAGGCGAGAGGAGAAGGCCGGCGAAGATAGGGTACGTAGTTTGGGATGTTGCTTGTAATTTCGCTTAGCGATCATTAGTATCGCTTAAGCGATTATTCGGTTTACTCATGATCGCAGCAATGATCGCTTAAGAGATCATGAGTGTTTACTCTTGGTGGCTTAAGCGATTTAGGTCTGGGCAGAATCACAGATTAAGAGATTCTCAGTTAACTTTTGATCGCTTAAGCGATTTAAAATCGCTTAAGCGATCTTGCATGAGACAGTAAGATCTCTTAAGCGATCCATGATCGCTTAAGAGACTACAGTGGTTTTGGTTTATTTTTGTTGATGACATTTTATTATATCGATTGTGCAGATTTGGCGGACCGTAAGCTGAGAGAGTACGATGGGAGCCTATAAGTGAGAAGGTACCCTACTTCCCTGCAAGGGTGACGTGAGGTCGAGGGAGGTTTTTGACAGAATAAGGGCCATTTTAGCTAGAATGAGGCATGGTGAAAGAGATTTTGGTGACACTTGTTTCGGTCAGTTTTTAAGAATTGGAAAAAATGGAAAAAGTCATTTTGGGGGAGGGAGTGCATTACATGTTGATGCACTCAGAAAAAGCAAGAAAAAAAATGAATGTGGTTCGTGTGGAGGGAAAGCCACTACGGTTTGGTATGATGGAGTATGCGTTGGTGACGGGCTAGGATCGGGGAAGTGCCAACTAAGGCGGAGGCAGAAGCAGTAAGGAAGAGTGCGGGAGCCATAAACTTTTGTAAAAAGGTTTTGAAAAGGGCAAAGTCTATTACAGGAAATTTTAGAGAAGAGGCTATCTACAGTTCGTTTAGTGATGCAGAGAAGATAAAAGTGTGCTTGATATTGTTTTTTGCATTCTATCTTATTGGCTGGTGACTCAACAAAAGCTATTGAGAAAGATTGGTTGTTGTTTGTAAGCGACTTGGAGTTCTTTAATTCTTATCCGTGGGGACGGATATCATTTGAGGAACCATCAAGAGCCGAAAAAACCAGACATGGCGTTAAAGCATGCCGAATGGGGCGGGAAGGCTAAACCAAGCACGTTAATTTGTTGGCTTCCCATGGGCAATGCAGGTAAATATAATAGCTCTATGTTATATTTTTTAATATGTGTGTTTGAATAATGACATGGATGTTTTTTTTACATGTAGGCTTGGATGTACGAGGCCATCCCTGTCTTCGCCAAGGCGGGGGGGAGGAGCAAGAATGTGAATGTGCAACAGGATTCCTAGGATGTTGCGGTGGCATGTCGAGAGCTGTAACCATGGGATTATGGCCAATTGAGATTGAGATTCAAGCAGCTGGGTAAGATTGAAGGATTAAGCTTTTGAATATGCAGTTGGTTTTTTATTTTGCTTCAATCTGATTGATTTTTTTTTCTTATTGCAGGGAGTCGTCCGTCCTTTTTGACCCTATTGGGGATGAAGCGGAAGAGGACTATGTCACATCTTTCAAAGCAATGGAGGATGAAAGGGAAACATGAAGATAGACCGCCTGATGCGGGACCTAAAGGGGTCACGCATGTGATGGCAGTTGCAGGGCCATTGCTTGACAATGTCGTTGATGCTGAGGATAATGAAGCTCGGGGGGCCGAGGATGAGGAGGAGAAGAGGGAGGAGAGGGTTGTATGCCTCAGCAAACCGGTACAACAAGTACCGCTTTGCCGAGACATCGGCGTAGGAGAATGAGGTTGTTGACCTCATCAAGGCCTGTTTGAGAGTTTTACAACAGCGTTTATGCAAGCTTGAGAAGATGGAAGAACAATGAAAAGGGTGGAGAAGAAAGTGGATAAGGGGGGAGGGGAAAGTAGCTAGAATGGAGGGCGAAGTTGGTAACATGGAGGAGGAAGTTGGTGGGAATTAAAGGCGGTTGAAGTGCAAACTGGCTTGAAAAGAGAGAGCCGAAAGAGCAAGTTTGTGAAATCGCCTTACATGGTAGTGACACAGGTAAAGAAGAAGAAAAAGAAGAAGAAACAAATGGAGGAACAACCAGAAAGGGAGGAGGTTGAGGAGGTTGGTGTGGAAGTGGGGGGGTGATAATGGGGTTGAGGAGTTGGTGTGAAGTGGGGGGTGATAATGAGGAGGGGGAGTTGGAGGCGAAGGAAGCGGGGGATGTAAAATTGGAGGAAGGAGAGGGGGAGGAAGTGGGGAAGGGAAATTGGACTCAATGTCGTTTGTATAGGCAATAGAGGAAGGAAAAAACTTTTTATGCCTATTACAAGGATCGGGAATTGATGGCCATATAAAGTGTAAGACAGGGGATTATCCCCGGAATGGTTTAAGAAGTTGTTGACGATGGGGACGTGGCTTGAGGACTCGGTGAGTTATGTTCACTTAATTTCCTTATTTTTTCCTGTGTTTTCCATACTTATCTTGTGTTTTTTATGTGATGTAGCACATCGATAGATATTGGCGCTGATGAGGCTACGACAGACTAGTGATGGTGATCTGTGTATCCTGACTGTGCTACACCGTGTGGCGTTTGGGCAAACGCTTGTTTCGGCATATCGGTCTTTAATTAAAAATGCCGTTGCTAGTGGTGTAGCAAAAGGACCGAAGCGAAAACGATTGGCTGCACCAGAGTCGGATTGCATCCCTGATGATTTCCGGTTTGATGATGGATTATGCAGTACGTAAGGGGGGATCGGCCAAATATGGCCACGGTTGGGCCTTTGTTAAAAGAGTGTACTGCATCATCCTCGTCAAACAGATGCACTGGATAGCAGTCGCTGCGCATCTAGAGGAGGGGTGTCTGAAGATCCTTGACTGCAACCCAACCATTTGTCGAGACAAGCAGTTGGAGGTCGAGTTGGAGCCACTGTCCAGGTTGTTCCCGCGGCTGTTGCGGTGACAGCGGGTGTTTGGGCAGTTGGGTGATCAGGTACTAACCGGAAAGTGGGGAATTCAGCGCTCTACCTGCCCAATAAATGAGTCAAGGTAAATTTTGTTTAAAACTAACTTACTAATACAATTGTTCTATAAGTTTATTATAATGGTAATGTCTTCTTCCTATTGTAGCGCTGAATGTGGGGCATATGCCCTGAAATTTATTCAGTTCGACTGACCAACAGCCCGATGGACAGCTTGAATGACGAAACAATGATAGAATGTCGGGAGCGCTGGGCTGTCGACTGCTTCCATGGGCAGATGGATCCGTTTTGAGTGACCAGAACCCAATCAAAGGGTATGAAAGTTGGACGCTGAATTGTGTAGTTTATGTGATGTTGATGTTTAACTTGGGTTTTTTGAGTTGAGTTTATGTGATACCTGTTATAATTATCAATAAGGGTGTATATACATGTTCATTTTCAATGGTGTTTTGAGTGTACTTCAGAACTGCTATTTAATTTGTTCTCATGGTGGCTATTTTCTAATTCATGCCTTTCTCATATTATGGTGTTTTACACTGCAGGTCACTAAGATGGAATGGTCAATCTCCACAGAAAGTCAACCGAGGCACCATATTAGCCGCCCTTGTAGATATCATCTTGAATTTGTTGTAGATATCATTGTAAGAATTGGATCTGATATTTGGGATATTTTGTGTGTCCATATAAGATAATTCATCAGCAGTTTCAATTACTATGTATGGTTGTCCATAAAGATCATATGTCTTTAGTAATAATCGCTTAAGCGACACCAGAGGTCGCTTAAGCGATCATTCGTATTTTAGTAATAATCGCTTAAGCGATCGAGAGGTCGCTTAAGCGATCATAGCCTGGGCAGATGTCATTCTGCCTCGGAAAAGATCGCTTAAGCGATCATAAATCGCTTAAGCGATCATGAGTCTTTTAGCAATTATCACTTAAGCGATACAGGTGGTCGCTTAAGCGATCATAGTCTGGGCAGATGGCATTCTGTCGGAAAGATCGCTTAAGCGATCAGAATGCTTAAGCGATCAGTTTTTAGATAATCGCTTAAGCGATACAGGTGGTCGCTTAAGCGATCATAGTCTGGGCAGATGGCATTCTGCCTCGGAAAGGATCGCTTAAGCGATCAGAAATCGCTTACGCGATCATCCGCTCTTTGTATAATCGCTTAAGCGATACGGTGGTCGCTTAGCGATCATAGCAGATGTCATTCTGCCTCGGAAAGGATCGCTTAAGCGATCATAAATCGTTAGCGATCATGGTCTTTTAGTAATAATCGCTTAGCGATATAGGTGGTCGCTTAAGCGATCATAGCAGATGTCATTCTGCCTCGGAAAGGATCGCTTAAGCGATCATAAATCGCTTAAGCGATCATGCGTTATTACATTATATCAACATATAGTTCCTTTACACGTCAGAAAGATCGCTTAAGGGTTTACGATTCGTTCAGAGCACTTGTTCCGTTATTACATTTATATCAAACATATAGTTCCTTTACACGTCAAAAAGATCGCTTAAGGGTTTACGATTCGTTCAGAGCACTTGTTCCGTTATTACATTTATATCAAACATATAGTTCCTTACACGTCAAAAGATCGCTTAAGGGTTTACGATTCGTTCAGAGCACTTGTTCCGTTATACATTTATATCAAACATATAGTTCCTTTACACGTCAAAAAGATCGCTTAAGGGTTACGATTCGTTCAGAGCACTTGTTCCGTTATTACATTTATATCAAACTTAGTTCCTTTACACGTCAGAAAGATCGCTTAAGGGTTTACGATTCGTTCAGAGCACTTGTCCGTTATTACATTATATCAAACATATAGTTCCTTTACACGTCAGAAAGATCGCTTAAGGGTTTACGATCGTTCAGAGCACTTGTTCCGATTACATTTATATCAACATTAGTTCTTTACACGTCAGAAAGATCGCTTAAGGGTTTACGATTCGTTCAGAGCACTTGTTCCGTTATTACATTTATATCAAACATATAGTTCCTTTACACGTCAGAAAGATCGTTAAGGGTTACGATTCGTTCAGAGCACTTGTTCCGTTATTACATTTATATCAAACATATAGTTCCTTACACGTCAGAAAGATCGCTTAAGGGTTTACGATTCGTTCAGAGCACTTGTTCCGTTATTACATTTTATCAAACATATAGTTTCTTTACACGTCAAAAAGATCGCTAAGGGTTTACGATTCGTTCAGAGCACTTGTTCCGTTATACATTTATATCAAACTATAGTTCCTTTACACGTCAAAAGATCGCTTAAGGGTTTACGATTCGTTCAGAGCACTTGTTCGTTATTACATTTATATCAAACATATAGTTCTTACACGTCAGTCAGTATATTTTTATTTGTTTGCTTAATTATTTAGGAAATATCAGTATATTTTTAATTAATTTTCGACCCATTAAGTGAATTAATTTCATTAATACCAAGAAAGGTTCAAAAATAACAAAAACACCCCCACCCACCCAACTTCCCAGATTCGGCTACCGCGACAGCAACGAACGACGGAAATGGCCGGTAATGGCCAGTTGTGACCTTTTCCGGCCTATCCACCTTCGATGTGGCCGGAAAAGGCCACATCTTCCCGTCATGGACTTTCAATGAAATGTCCGACTTTGCCGGTCAACGCGGCCAACATTTGGCCGTCGTTGACCGACAACGACGGCCATATATTTGGCTGTCACAGACGGCAACCTCTGGATTTTTCCGTTCCTCACGGCCAGTTCTGGCGGATCGTGGGCCCTTTTCCGGCCACATCCGTGGTCGATCTGGCCGGAAAGCCCATATAGAGGCCCTTCGGCCAGATCCGACCACGTGCATCGAAACGCCCTTCCCCGGTCAGATTCCGGCTCCGGTGGCCGTGGGTAGGTGGGGGTGTATCTGTAAATTTTAAAACCATTTGCAGAAGAATCGGTTAAGCGATACAATGGATCGCTTAACCGATCATGTGATTGGCAGAAGCAGATCTGCCCATGTCATGATGCTTAAGCGATCAGTGATATTGCTTAAGCAATATGCCTTTTTCCCCTGGTCGATTAAGCGATCTGGGATCTCTTAAGCGATCATGCACCTGGGCAGAATCAATCAGTCCAGGTGAAGGATCGCTAAAGCGATCCTTTATCGCTTAAGCGATCATGCACCTGGGCAGAATCAATCAGTCCAGGTGAAGGATCGCTTTAAGCGATCCTTTATCGCTTAAGCGATCATGCACCTGGGCAGAATCAATCAGTCCAGTGAAGGATCGCTTAAGCGATCCTTTATCGCTTAAGCGATCCATCTGCGAAAACACTTGTCGCTTAAGCGATACACTTAGTCGCTTAAGCGATCGTGGGCAATATACATTTGCATCTTTTCTCCTGAATTTTGAAAACTAAAATTACCAACACGTATTAATTCCATACTTTTTCCTCAATTTGACAGCTAATTCCAAACTAAAATCACAACAAATATTTAGACCATGTAATAAGATACACAATATAAAGGATATTTTATTAAAGGTAACAATAAAATTTAAACATCAATAATTTCATCCTTCTTCGAATCGACCCTAATTACTTCTGGCAACTGCTTCTCTTGTGACCAGGTTGCTGCAATTGAGCACTTATTCATCTTCCGGGAACCTCAAAGGCTGATGGAATACGCTTAACCCTTTTTCTCCCCTTTGGCGTTTCTTCAATGGCGGCTGGAGGATAATGTCAGCCACCTCTGGCGGCACTACCCAGCTTCTTCTGGAGGCACCGGATATATCGTTTCTGAATATGCTAGCATGTATGGATCTGTCATATAGAAAGGGAGCAAAGTTCCATGTAAATCTTGAACCAAAATCCGGCTTCCGTTGGTGTTTCAGTGCTGCTAGTGCATGAGGACAAGGAAATGTTGAATGTCAAGCACTTACAGCTGCAAGTTTTTGTAACAAGGTTAACTAGGGCATCCGGACCATAGCCGCGCACAGTAAACTCTTGAGCATTAAGAGGATAGGCAAACAGTGCATTTGACGTTCCATATGTTCTCGCAATATTTTTTCAGCTGACGGAACAAGGGTTGTAGTAAAATTATCTGACTCCATACGACGCTCATGGAACCACGCGACAGTGTCCTTTGGATTGAATCAAAAAGTGCAACTATTGGAAACTCTCTTTCTATTAACAACTTCGAATTTATGGACTCAGCTATGTTCGTGGTCATGACATCAAACTTCTTCCGGGAAAGTAAGCCTCTACTCTCTCTCGAAACCAACATCATGCTCAAGATACTTAGCAACTCTACATCCTTGATGGATTTGCTGGAAGTGTTCCTCGAACTCATCAACCCGGTAAGCTTTTGCTGCCATGTAGTATGTCTGAAGGAGGCCAGCACACTTAAACTTTTGTTTTATGTTCACCAAGGTGCCTCATACAGAATCCGTGATGTGCTGACGGTAAATAGTGGCAATCCCCTTCTTTATAGAGTTGTGCCTATGGATATTATGCACAACTCGTCACTGTCAGGCACTATCGTACGTAACTGCTGAAAAAACCAAGTCACGACTCGTCATTCTCAGAGTCAAACCACACCATGCAACAAGGATATGTGTGATTCTCGCTGTCCTGCAGTGGCACCAACAATGTACCTCCATACTTTCCCGTTAGAAAGCAACATCAACAGCCAACACCTTCTCATGTTACAAAACCCCTTATAGCAGACCCATAAGCAACAAAAAAATATTTAAACATCATATTCCTGTCCCACTTCAAACGCGCTTGCTACCTTGGTTTGTCAACTCAAGCATATAACGGTACGCTTCTAATACTGCGTACCGTGCTCGGCGTGCCCCTCACAAAATCTTGTGCATGTTGTCTACCTTTCCAGCATTTCAGTAACTAACAACACATCCCAACTCTGTGCGCACAAGTCTCTGAATGTCTTTAGGAGATGGACCTTTCCTTCGACGAACCGACTTTTGACAAATTGTCCAATAACATCAGCGGACGCTTGTCGATGCTCACCTGAAATATGTTCCAAACCACATGTGTGCTCACGGGTATATGTGCTAAGAATAAACTTTTCCGACTCCGCCAACCTTCTACAATAAACCGCCACTTGCAGTTTCGGTCACGACATGCAACCGTCACAGCCAATGAATTTGACTTTTTGGTGATGAACTCAAAATTACCTTTCACAGCAACAAGTTTTAGCTTCCTCACCACTTCCTCTTTGTTGTCAAATAAATACCCTATGGCAAGTCCGATCCATCCGTAAGCATGAGCTGATCCACTACTACCTCCAATTGCCCCCTTTGAACTTGCATAAACGACCATAGTGTTCTCTTCCTCACAATCTACGCCTTCTGCATAAGTTATTTAAAGGAATCTCTACATCTGTGGGAACATCACGGGGTCTCCTCCTCAACATTTTCATTCTGCCCCCCATCACCAACCTCTTCTATAGTGTCCTCCTCACCACCCAATTGACCGTCTACTCTTGATTTTTCAGCTAACATCATGGCCTCGTAGTTCAAATTACAACCAGGCAAATCTCCGCCTACATCCTCGTTATCCCCTTCCTTGGAACCAACTTCCAACGGTTTTTCTACATAAGAAACCCTTAAAATCGGCCTCGAACACTATCGGC